TATATATATATATATATATAAATATTAGTAATAAAAGATAAAATATTATCTTACTTGATGCTTATCATAAATATGTTTTGTTTAAACAAAAAACATATTGTCCTAAATATTGTCTTATAAATGTATATACAATACAACATGTAACATTCAGATATAATATAAAAACTATATATTATAAATTAGCCCAACTCATTTTGAATCTCATGAACAAATTTTAATATGCTGAGTGTCATAAAATATTCTCAAGGTATTGTTTTCTTAATGAAATTTTTTTATTTTTTATTCAAATTGACTATACTTGCGCCACTAGTTTAAAATTCAACATTTTTTGAGTCTTTACGGGCATTTTTAAACAATCGGCGCGAATAGAAATTTACAAATTATTAACTATATAATAATGTTACAAGTACATTACAAGTAATGGAAGGTTTTTTATCTATACAGATTGTGGCCATTTGTATTACTATTATTTTTGTTATTTCGTGGTATTTTAAAATTGCACAAACTCATTATGAAATTAAAAAAACATGGTTTTTAAACAACATAGCATTGAGGCCCAATACACAGCAATTAAAAATTTGTTAGATGCTTTTTATCTCATACAGTTCACTTTTTGCCCTGGTTATTTAAAAGGAGTTTGTAAAAGATTAGCTAAGTTTCCTGGCCAACCATTATTCTTGTTAACCTCCTGTCATCATGTGAAATAAGGCAGGTTTTTATTTTGAGTAATTAAATACTCAAAGAGATTAAAAGAATGGCTGACTAAATTTCTCTTTCCTTGTAACTGCGGTTTTTGACCTGTGACTTTTTTGATTCTGCAATTTCATAAGTTTTGATATTTTAGTCTTATTATTTAAGAATAATTTATGTCATAAAGTAATAAATTATTTAAAAACAATGGTTTGCAAAATGGTTTAAAATCAGATGTAAAATACAAAAAAAATAACTCTAAACCAATTGTTTCTTCTAAATCAATAAAAATAGCACTTTGATTTTATCTTGTCAAAAATAAATGTAATAAGTATTTAGCAATGTCATTTTAAACCTTATTTTATCTACATTGCATTATTTTTAATTTACACTTTTAAGCTGCAATAGCTGCAATAGCTGCAAGCTGCAATAGCTGCAATAGCTGCAGAGGTGAAATTCAAATTATGTTAAAATCATAGAGGTGTTTGGTGCTAGCGTTTTTAACCGAGATCACAATATAAAAATGGTAAAAAGTTTTGAATTCAAAAACAAAGGGAGGTCTGAAAAGATATAAAAACTTATAGAATCAAAGCTGAAATCTTTCTGAAAGCAGATTTTGTTGATAAAGCCCAGCCACTAGGTCTTGAATTGTATATTCCACAAGACTACTGGTTAATTTTTGATATTCTAAGTCATAGTTTGAAAAAATCCTTATGGATGAGACACCCTCAGACTTTTTGGATACAATATGTTCCAAAACTTTTAAAATCTTTCAAAATTGCTAACAACTCATCAGAATTCACAGCAAAATCGCAAATCTATTAAACATAGTTTAAGAAATTTATTTCTAAAAACAAGAAATATATTTCTTGTTTTTAAAAATAAATTGCAGGATAGGAAAAACAAGAAACATATTTCTTGTTTTAAGAAAAATATTTTGTAATAAAAAGTCCAATTTTGTAGTGCTTACAATAAAATTTAGATAGATAATTTAGAGCTTGAGTGATGAGCTCGGAGAAGCTTCAGAAGCTACTTCAAATAAGGAGTTCTTGCAAAAAATCATTAAAAAAACAAGAAAAGTGGATTCAATGAGCTAGCTAGTAGATTCAATGAGCTACAGCGACTGCTTTCTCGCTTTCTCTTATTGAATGGTTCTAATAAATAAGAAATATCAATACTGAATTTTGATCAGATGTCTAACTGCAAACTCTGAACCTTAAAATTACATTTAAAAACAATTTTTATACATATTTTCTTGAGATATTTGTCTTAAGCTGAAAATTTATATGTATATAAATATTTATTGCACATTTTCAACATTTAAACGCTGAATTTTAAAGCAAATTTGCTTTAGAAAGAAGAGATCTGTGGCAGGATCCAACATTTTTTTGTGTTTGAGATAACTATCATGGAGCAAAATCCAAAAATTTGCATGTTTATATTTGTGTCAAATAATGATGCTTTTTAAAAACTTGCAATGATTGGAGGCTGGGAACGAAAAAAGCATTAAAACTTTATCCCCCTTCCCCAAACGTGAAACAAGTTGATGAAATAATTTTTTTGCTATTCTTAGCTAAATTTATATCTAAACTGGTTTTAATATCTGGTTTTAATTTATGAAATCTGAGATATATTACTATGATATTATTATTTTACCAACTTATTGCTCTCATGTTTGGGGCAGAGGGGATAAAATTTTAGGGCTTTTTTAGATACCAGACTCCAATCATTGCTGTATTTTGCAAAGCATCATTATTTGACATAAGTATAAACATGCAAATGTTTTGAGATTGCGCCTGTTAGCTATATC